AAAAAAAACTTAGTAGCCTATGTGTTCTTCCAGTTCTTCCAGTTTTATATTCTATATGCATGCCAAATTTCATCAAGATCCATTCAGTCGTTTTGGAGATACGTTCAAACAAACATCCATCGAAATATTCGCATTTATAATACTAGTAATACTGTACGAAGTAAGGTGTGACAAATTCTTTTTCGTTTTATTAGTTAAAGTAGGATAATAAACAATATTACGATACAACGAAACATAAATGACCTATTTTCGAAGCTTTTGCTCTACATAACAATAATTCCGTTATCACCTCATCAAATAAAATCCGGCCTCGCTGTTCACTTGTAGATAATTTAAAGCAGACCTAGAATGTACAGATATAATAACGTCTTATAAATGTCCCCGCGACACAAGTGAGTATATTTTATCATGAAATAATGTGACCTGAATATGCGGAACATCAGTACAGTTAAATGTGACATTGGTTAATTTTATAACTTTGAATGCCGCTTTATTAGTCATGACAAATATTCATAATTCAAATTAATTTGACTATTCACTATCAAAAGTAAGTTTGAAAACAATTAATCCTTTATATTGAAGGTATATTAAGTACAAACTTTGCGAATTCCGCGCATTGAGGAGTTGTCTGTCCTCGGCGGTATTTCCAAATCAATACGACTTAAGATATTTCAAGAAACGAGCAAGAACGCATGTGTAGTTCTTCTGGAGCTGTGAATGTCCATTCGTCGTTGATCACCTTAGCGTTCCCGCGCCCATTTAGCCTCTTCTTTTATAAAAAAAAAACGTTGAACTTTTTTTAAATTATTGTGTTTACGTTTTAATACCCAAGATACAAACAAACACTTAAATTTGCCTGAATTAATTGCATGCGGCGAGCTTCGGTCACGCCAAGGGTGTTGTCGTCGTAAAAAAAGAATAAAGAGTGCTAGGTAACAAAAGTTTTAAAGCATTAGTGTTAAAAGTTGATGTCAACAAAGTAATAAATTTAATGCAACCTACTATCTAACGAAAATAAAATCATAGATTTTGTCTATCTAGACATTGAATAAATTGGTGTGATCGAGTCAAGAATAAAAAAAAACTCGTGTTAGACTGTAAGTTATAGGCCCTAAGTATGACATAACAATGCGCGTAAAGGAAACGAGTAAGCAAATGTATACGTCGCATCTGTATATCCCGATGATTTCTAGAATACTGTGACAACTCTTGCGATAATAGCAATGGTTGAATAGCTCTTAAACTAAATTATATTAAAACAACTAGCTGTAGCCCGCGACTCCGTCCGCTCGAAAGTAAAAGAAAACATAATTAATAGCAATTAAACAAATTTCATCCAGATCCGTCCAGCGGTTTAAGACATACTTTCAAACAAACATCCATACATCCATCTAAACATTCACACGAGTAATATTATTAAGAAGTAAGATTGAATGATAATTGATAGCTCTTAAACTAAGGTAAATTAAAACAAAAGAACGTGTGGCGCCATATTTAAGAATAATTATCAAATCAATTGTCAATTGTTATTATCGCATCGTGACTCAGTAAAGACGCATTATGTTGCTCGATATAGAAATAAGTTTATTTCAGTTCAGCTTCACCAGTGTCGGAATGCTGCGTCATCCAGCTCTTATAAAACAACCATACGAAACGTGGGCGACTTTACGATCGACAACAGACGTAGGTTAAACTAGCACCTACATCACAATTATGTTAAAATATTGACTATTTAGTTGGTAACTAGTCGTAGATGTAAAAACAATTAGTATCTTACTAATAATATAAATGCAAATGCCTTAATGGATGGAAGTCTGTTAGAAGGTATCTCTAGAACGGTTGCATGGAATGTTGTTGAAGTTTGACATATAACATTGCCTAGTAGATCATATAGTCTACTATTTTTTTATAGTGTAGGAGTTGTGGGCAACAGCTATTAAATTGTGCAGTAAATATATTTCTAATTAAATATTATTCAACCTAGAAGCAAAACAATGTTGCCCTTTTTCTCCAAACGTTCTCTCTTTCTATGACTTAATTTTTGTTCTACTATTTACAAAATGCATAGAATATCAATTGTATCCACAATCCAATGAAACGTTAAAAGAAAAAAAACAAACGATGCATTAACAAACATCCTATTTATAGATTTAAGTAGCACAAATCATCAAAAGTTTAAAGAGACTCCGATAAACTGCATTGTTAGCATTCCTTATTGTCATAATTACGAGTATTATCTTTGATGTTAATATGTGCAACAACTTACTCTTTAGATTTATTGTTCCGCTTTTAAAACAATTGATATTATCAAACTGTAAGTTTCCATTGGCGCAAAATCTTTTAGAAAAATATATTTCTCTCTCAGTTCTTTTTAAGAAAGTGATAAGGACAATAATGTAATCGTGTTAAGTATTCAAAATAATTTAGTATTTAACTAACACCCCGAAATAACGTTTGATATGTTCAGCCAATGAATTTCGAAACACCCTGTGTAACATGCACATCAGGTATATTTTAATAATTGACCGATTTCACCTTTAGAATATATTATTTATAAATTAAAAATCTGGCTATAGAACAAATACTGGCAGCTTATAAACTGTGAAAAAGTTGCTCAATCTCATACATTGCGTTGAATCATTACGTGGGCTTCGTGTTTATGTTATATTGTTTTAGTTGGCTGTTAAAAGAGTAATTCTGACATTAGCACGTATTTCTACCATCAAGAAGTTAGTGTCGTTGTATACGTACACATTTAGATCTGCCACTTCGTCACATGATTGAAGTCTTGTCATTAGATTCTGTTTACATTCGCCCCTTAATTGATAATATTTTTATAATTATTAATATCAAATAATATTTCATTACGTTATCCCTATCTAACAACAAAAATGTGCCGTGAATATAAATTTAAATTTTTTACATTTAAAAATTGAGATTATATTTATGTCTAAAGTTTACATTTTTTATTGGATAAACGTATAAAAGACAAATTTTATATTCAGGGCTTATTTGTGTTAATTGTTATTTTTAATATTCATTCAATTTGTACCGTAATTCTATTTAATCAAACTCAAAATGTAATTATTTAATAAATAACTGAATGCGAAACATAAATAAATAATGAAATCATTCATTCATTCACTACCTCACTCACGCTTGTGTGTAGTCTCCCTTAGATGACGTAGAGCGCCTACGAGCGAGCGTAGAAAAAAGATTGGCAGAAACAAGCGGTACGAAAATAGTGCATGTTTGTGCGAAAAATATCGCAATGTGTAATTTCATTCATGTTTCCATAGTCTTACGTTAAAATAATCTATACTATTGTAATATATAGAACTTTTTTTAATTATGATTTCTACAACTTTACCACTAAATTGGAAAAGGATTTTGTTAACATACGAACCAGTTATCACATACTTGTAAGATGAAAATAGTCGTATCAATATACGTTTAAATCTTACTTCTTACTAATATTATAAATGCGAATGTTTAGATGGATGGATGTCTGTTTCAAGGTCATCTTTAGAACGGAACTCAATGAAATTTGGCATACATATAGGACATAGTCTGGAAGAACACATAGGCTACTACTTATATTTATTAATTCCGTGCGGACGGAGTCCCCAGCGACCGCTAGTGTTACGATAAATCCCAATAGACGATGGCATTAAATTAATTTATTATAACTTGTCTATTAGGTACTCATTTATTTGAAGCTTTGTAATTGTGTCCATTATTAAAATAATATTATATTTAGTCGTCAACAAAAATACCTCCATGTAAACTAACTCGTATGAAATTACAGCAATTAGTTTCTTTGTATAATTTCGTATCGTGCAAAAATGCACAAATTCTCAAATCTAAATTCCCTGATCGATGACGCGCGACTTTTATTTGTAACCCCGAAAACACGTCGTTAACGCAAATAAAGCGTCCTACATGAATGGAATTTACATCACGAATGACTGAAACTACGTAGGTCACATTCATGCGGCAATAACCATAACTCTGCGTGTTTATCAAACAATTTTGAATTGAGGCCGGGACCTTATTCGTGACTGACGAATGGGATACGACGCAAATTTTCTACTAAATTAACAGTCACTTTTAGCTGACAATCTGGACATATCGTATTTATAGGACATTCTTATTTCTTATTAACCAAGGAAGAAGTCCCAAACCATCACTATGAAATTTACTAATCATATTAAACTAGCTGTCGCTCGCAACTCCGTCCGCGTGGATATATAAAAAAAACTTAATATATAGATAAGTTAAATAAAAGGCAGCTCTTCGAGGCATAAATTCGAAAAAAACCATATCGGTTAAGCCGTTCTTGAGTTATAAATAGTGTAACTAACGCGATTTTGTTTTATATACTCGTATATAGATGTAAAGTAGCCGCTACAACAACCCTTTTTTATACTAATCAATAAATTGAAATTATTAAGTATCCTACGGATAGGTTTAAACATGAGTTTTTTTCTGAAAGTAAGTTTTGAAAATAACAAATATTAAATTAACATGTAAATATTACGGTTAATAATATCACAAGTATTATTCGAAACTTATTTCGTCGTAGCATATGACCCTCTACGCCGTAGATGCTATATTTCATAGGTACCACCTTTTTAATTTAAATTAAGATTTGTATAGATAATAAAAACGCACAAAACAATGTCGGGAAATTTTTATTCAATATGAATGTTTTTTATGAAAACTGAAATATATATTTGGTGAATCACATAATGTGAAATTTTATTTGAATAATAAAATTTTAAGCAAAGCAACGAAATGATAAAAATAATAGAAATAATAAACAGAGTCAAAAAATTTAAAAAGCAAATAATATTAATCGTCATATGTCACCAGTAACAATTAAAAACGACGATGAAACTGTAAACAAAATAACACTCTGTAGGTGTTACGAAAATAATCATGGAATGCCGGATATTACAGGCGCTTCGGACCGGGACCGCAGGTGGTGGATTCCAGACATCAGTATGAGTTGACACTCCGCGAGGGACGGACGTATCGAGAGAACGTTACTTATCTCGATCTAAAATTCGCGTGTTGCATGTTCAAAGTTAATGTTTGTGCAGTGAATTTTAGACGATTTTTTTACGTAAAATTATTCGTTTAAAATGAAGGTTTTAACAGTAGACGATAAAACTGTTGTCGAAGATAGAGAACCAACTGTCGAGATTGTTGATAATAAACTAACTAAGGAGGAATTAAATAGGTAAATTATATATATACATTATTTTTCTTAATGTCAATCAAAACTTATTAAATTACGAAATAGTTCAACTGACAGTATAGTTATATTTAAAAATAAAATTAAATATATTAAAATCTGGCAGATATGCGCAATTGCGCTTTTTATATTTACAAGGAAAATTGTTTCATTTACTTACTTTGTAAGAAATATATTAAAAATATTAAGTACATTAATGTAAATATTGTCCAGCAACAAACACGTATAATGCTATTAGGTTTTTTTTCGACCAATTTCTTTTAAGTATTAGCTAAGACAACTTCGAGATTTAATGTATATTGATTTTTTTAAGTCTTTGGATCTACTCGAATACAAAACGTAGTTACATTTATTTTACAGAAAAAAAAATTAATATTATTAATTTCAATGCCAAATACTTACATACTATCATTAACTGTACATTTGCCCGTAAAATGTTTATTTTGGTAACAAAGAATCATCTGGAGAAAGAACTGCCAAATTTGTCTGGATTGTTAAAACAAAACGTATGAGAGCAAGTTCGCTAGGTCAAACTCTGCTGGACGTCCGCCAGCGGTGACACAAGCGAGAAGAATGCGTTGTTTACGCGGCGTCGCATCGTTTCGTTCGCGCGCTTTTCACTTTTTGGGCGGGAAAACGATGGAATGCGCCACCGTGACGCCATGTTTGTTATGTCGTAGATGCACGTCAGAAGAGAATCATTAAGATTTATTATTCAATAATATTTTGTTTTTTTAAAATAGAAGTAGTTTTTATAAATGTTTTTAAATCGTAATAATTTAATCTACACAACATTTTTGTTCGCAAATGAATGTTATTAAACCCTCTTAGCTTTAATTTTTCTCTGACATAAATTGTATAGTTTGACCAGTGTTTTAGTAATGCATTTGGCCGTCTAGTTAATAACCGTATTCGTATAAACGGCAATTAAATAATTGTTTCTATTGTGTCATCATTCATTTCGTCATAAAAACCGGCGAAGTGCAAATCGGACTCGCGCATCTAATGTTCCGTACAATCCTGTAGGTTGCGTTGACTTAGAAGTTTTTTTCACAGCTGCAAGGGACAGTAGAGAGTATTTAATGTAAATTCCAGCTTGATGCCACTGACTGATATTTATGAGTTTCTTAACAGACAGACGGACGGACAAATTGATCCTATCTAGGTACGGAACCCTTAAAATGACCGACCTTGTAGCATTCTAGACTTGACATTGACGTGAATTAATAATACAGAACACAAATCATTCTATTTTAGTCATCGCACAAAGGAATCTTACACAGATGTTTTGCGATCATTTACTAAATGTTATTATGACTGCAGTTTTCATTTAAAATTATAATATGATTTAGTATTTACCATAAAATTAGTAGGATTTAATATTTTTGGCAACGTATCGTATCTTTTACCATGCCTACAATTTTATACACTGATTTGTTCAACATAAATCAGTTTTTAACATCGAATGCTGACTTTTAAATATCGAATTTAGTTTTTGAAATGCTTAACTTGAAGCGATCTCGTAATTTAGTGCACAAAATGCTGATTCAAAATAAAAACATCTTACATAAGAAATAACAGTATTTTGATACTTCAACTTAAAGATGCTTCTATAATTAAGGCAATTTTAACATCATTATTTTCTTCAACAGAGGATGTCCTCTAGGCGTGTCCCGGGTAACGGGTTCAGTGTACGTGTGCGGTGCGCATGCGCTGCCGGGCGCAGTGCGGGCGCTCCGCCCCGGGCTGGTGGTGAACGCGGCGCCCGAGCTGCCGCCACCGCCCGATGACTGCGCCCCGCGGTACTATGTACCATTGCTGGACACAGCCAACTCAGATATGCATCCATACATGGAGAGAGTCGCTGATCTTATCAACGATGTAAGCTTACATTTTTATATTTTAGATACATATATATAAACTCTGTAACTTACCTTACACATCGACCCTTTTCCTAATGACTCTTATCGGCTTGAAACCAACCCTAAGTTAGTGGTGACTAGGACATAGTCAACCATTCTGGCCCAGTGCGTTGGTTGACTTTACACATATCTTTGAATTTCTTCGCAGATATGTGCTCCGCGATGTTTTCCTTCACCTTAAGAACGTCGATTAAATATACATGTGTAAATAAAAAATCGAAAAACATATTAGTTTATAGCTGCAGATTACAAGTCAAGTGCTTAAATCCCTGAGCCACCGATGCTCCTTAACTACACCTCTGAATAACTTCACCTAACTAACCTCATTGTTCTTATTTCTTTAACTTAATTGTATCTTATTTGTATATTAAATGATAGTAATACTTTTGACACAGGTGGTATCGAGGGGCGAGGTGGTGCTAGTACATTGCGTGGCGGGCGTATCCCGCTCTGTCACACTATGTTTGGCGTACCTCGTCAAGTGGCAGCGGATGACGCTCAGAGACGCCTACCACCATCTCAAACTAAGACGGTATTTATTACTTCACTTTACATTTACTAATTAAAAAAAATAATCTCGGCAATAATTCTGAACCACTTGGACTAATAAAATTCTTTAATGTAGAAGTACCATTAGTAACGCTACAATCAAGGTAAGGTCTAGAAAGACCAAAGACTAAATTCACCATCTCTTACAGACCACAAATCCGACCGAACACGGGTTTCTTCAAGCAGCTGATTAAATTCGAGGAGCGACTGTTCAGTGAAGCTTCCGTTAAGATGGTCTACTGTGAAGCTATCGACAAGGAGATTCCCGACGTCTACGAGCCTGATTACAGCGGAATGACCTGGTTCAGGCAACGGTACGGACCTATTGAAAACAGTTGAGTCACATTAGTAATTAAGCTATAGTTAGTTCTATTAATATTGGCACAAATCTCTATGTATGCTTGTCAATATGCAGCAATTTTATCTATATATAATACAATTAAATGTTTTATCATGGGTTTTTAAGCGTCGAAAGACTGATATAAGGACATTGTTAACACTCTCATTAAAAAAACACTGATATAAGAGTACATTTTTATAAGTATATCAAATCTCATAATTACACAATACCACGGGCCAAATTGTGTTAACCGATCTCTAAGTGCGTTGACTCATTTTGATTTTTAGGTTAATTGCAAGCCGAAATGATATTTAATTTGACCTAATGAATGCTAAAAGTTCAAAGTAAGTTTCAAAATTACCAGTTAAATGTGAAAAATGTACGCTTTCACCTGTTGATTAATGAGTATTTAATATTTTATAATATGTTTTTGCGTTGATGCGAGAATAAAAGTTGAAGTTTTTAATGTCTGAAACATTATCTTGATAGTAAAATATAATTTGATTTTATGATGTAAAATGCTTTATAAATAGATTTTAATTGTATATTTTAATTGTTGATGTGATTATACCAAAACATATTAATTACATTTTAAAAATATATAATAAATATTAATTGTAGCCGCTAAATAGAACGAAATGGATGTATGAAAGATTATTGTATTTGTGTTCTGACATATACAGAGTTAAGTTAAAATGGCTCGCAGTTACTAAATTATGTTTTACTTGATATTTACCTTATAAATAAAATTACTTCTCTTCTAAAACATTAGCCATTTTAATTTGACTTGTTATTTCTTTACAAGACTGATGCATGAATGATTTAAGTTTTATTAAGTATATTATATTAAGTTATAATTTAATTTAAGTAATTCTAAGAGATATTATAGAAGCCGTTTAAAATTTACGATATCCTGTAACTTAAAAGTGCCTGCTAATTCTACAAAATATGTTCAAATTTAATAAAAATAAATGTCTATTATTGAGTTTTTAAAAATACTTTTATCGCTTAGAACATAAACAATAGCTTTATGTACGTAAGCTAAGTTATTTTATTGTAAATGCTAAGAATATATGAGTTATATAAAATTTAAAAAATTGCACAAATGTACATTTACGTACTATGTGATATAATGAACTGTAAGTTTTATTGTAAGTTTCTGTTAAGTTATTTAGTTGTATATAAATGGGACCAAAATAAATAAATAAAGTATAATCTTTGTTTCTTTGTGAATACCAAACACTAGTGCAAAGATGTTTCGACAATTTATATCATACTTAATTTATATTAGTATGATATAAAAGTTTAGACGGATGGATGTTTGTTACTGTGTACCTCCAAAATGACTAAACGGATCTCGATAAAATTTGGCATAGATATAGAACATACTTTGGAAAAAGACATAAGCTACTTACTAACTTCAAGTTTAGAAAAATGTTATCAACCGACATACATACTTTGATTTTAATTTTTAATGAGTAAGTCGTCTTTGTTTTATTTCTACTTAATAACAGATGAAAGTAACTCAAACATAATCAATGATTAAACGGTATTGTAAATTTCTTGCACCGTTTTGACCTCAATAAAGCTATAAATATGATTTACGTGTTACCTAATTGCTTTAGCTATGTAATGACTAATGCTGCAGGAGTTGTTGGCCCCGTGGCATTGAGCGGTGCTACAGAAATAGACCCCCCCTCTCCGCCCCCACCTGTGTAGACTGCGCCTTAGTGATAGCCGAAGCGGGGGCGGAAACTGCAATACGGTTTATTTTGAAAAGAGGCTTGGCATTAAACAGAAATTCAAAACTGATGAATCATTGTAACATTGTTTCGTATTGAACGTTGGTTGTATGACTCAAAATTTTAATGAGTTTATTTAGGGTTGGATTTGTAGACAGACCCTAACTTAGGGGAGTATAGTTAGCTGATGGTGATGAGTGTTGGCTCAATAGAAATGAGAGCAGGTATTCAAATTAGAAGTACTTTATGATAAACTAGATGTCGTACGGTACTCCCCCGCGCGAAATTAAAAAATAACTTAATCAGTAACCTACGTGTTCTTCCAAACTACAAGCTACATTCATGCCAAATTTCATCAAGACCCGTTGAGCCTTTCTGGAGATATCTTCAAACAAACATCCATCCATCTATCCATTTCATTTGCATTATCATTGGCATTTGCAATATTAGTAAGAAGTAAGATTCTCTGGTACATTCTATGTGTTTTTAAGTATACGTAGAATTACGTTTAGTTGTTGCTTTCGTCGCTGTAATATGTTTAACAATAAATAAACAAAAGTTACTCTTCATAGATATTCGATGCGTATTACATTGTAACGCAACGTTAGATGTGACAGCAACTGACAATGCGTCAGCGTCTCTTCCTGGATGTGGCGACTCAAAATAGTTTCAGCTCACATTAAATTTAACAAAGGAAACAACTAGCATATACTTACCTTAATATTAAATGAATGAAATTATATTAACAAAGGAAAATGACAGGAAAGTGAGTCGCAGTATTTTATGCGTCCTAGAGGGACTTATAATATATCTATATTGGTGAAACACGCAAATAGGAAAAACATCCGAAACCGACGCGCATATGTATATGCGTAGATGTATGAATGTTGAAGAGACGAGAGAAATATGGGAGGATCGCAGCAAATGTAGTCTATAGATTCTTTGTCTATTCATCCTCTCCCCGTCGATTATAATAAAAATATCTCAAGGTATTGTCTGTTTATGGTAAGAGCAGAGTGGTAGAATAAAGGTGATTGTGTTGTTCTACACGTGTTAATGTGATGCGTCACAGAAAGTTTACGATGGCGTATTAGACCAGTTGGATGAATTTTGTATCTTTCTTAAGAAATGATTAATATACTAGTGAAGACAAATTTTCAGGTTGCTTGTTTTTTAAATTAGCAGTACGGTCGCCTTCTCCTTCTCCCCTGACGTGGTGTTCATATCCGTTATATTTATTTGTTTTATTAAAATTTATTATTAATTAAAAAATTACTATGAAACTATATTACATTTTAAAATATTATTATGAACTATAAGATGGATAAGTAAAAAAATAAAAACAATCAAAATTAAAAAATAATATATTTAATTCAGTTTATCTAGGTTATACTTAAGTATGCATTTATTAAATAAAAATTGACATTTCTTTTTAATGAAGATGATACAAACAATTATTATAAATTAATCCATTAAGAACTATCCCGGTAAAAATAAATCAGAATAAAATATGGTTAATGACGCAACAATCTGACAATGTTAGCATACAAAATTAAAACAAGCACTGATTGTTCTCACCTGACGACTGAGGTAATGTTCTAAATTTAAACTAATTGGTTTCCTGCCAGGACTCAGCGTACACAAATATGACTGACACGCAAATACTAACTGAAAGCGAACAATGGATTACAACAAAACTTAATAATCAACCTTATTTCGAAGCCCATAGAGTTGGAAATTGCTTGACATTGTTTCCCAGTCAACCTGTCAAATGTTTTGCCAAAACACCTGATGATCAACGCGTGTTATTTGTTGGCAAAAACAACTGACAAGTTCAATGTTTTCGCTAATTACAAAGGCACCTACGCCTACTTTTAGAGCACTTTACTTTTTTAATTTTCATTGAAAATAAGTTGCGTAATTTCGACAGTATTTTCTTAAAATTTTCCTGGTCATTTAAAGCGACAAGTTTTCAAACGTACTTACTCATAATTTTATAACGAAACGAACGTAAAAATATATTTTTTTTATCTAAGTTACTAAATTCAGAAAGAAAACTACAGTATTGAATTTAAGTTATAACGCACTACATGAGGACAAAAAACCCAAAGCTATAAAAAAAAACTAAAAAGATCACAAATCCCCCAAAAGAGAGTGGAACTTGAATCGGTTTACCTACTGTGTTGTGCAACTGGAAATCATCAGATGCATTCTCTGTTACATCTCAAAAGGATTATTTATTTGAAGTAGCCAAGTCTGAAGTCAGTTCTAAACAAACATTTCACTTGAAAATGACAAGACGGACATATTTAACAAATAAATATATTCTTAAAATTTAATAACACTTATAAATATTTAAAAGAATTGATTTCCGGTACTCAGAATTAGAGTTTATTTTCTCTTAATTGTTTTCGCTAAATAATTTCATCGCCAATATCATCAACCTACCGTTATCCCGACGGAGGGTCGGCACATTATGTACAACTCCTTCATATATCTCTATCAGACGTCATATCTGAATCTACATCCTCCTTACGCATACCCTCTTTCACACACATGCATACTTTTTTTTAGTCTTTCTCTAACTTTGTAGCCATTAATTTAATAACAATCTCATCATCAACCTGCCCTTATCCCTATTGAGGGTCGGCACAGTATGTACCACTCCTTCATACATCACAATTTAATAACAATCTATTAGTTTAAGACTATAAAATAATATTGTCACTAGTAAATAACTATGTCCTCAATAAAATAATTTACTAAATCTGTGAATTTGTACTCATCTTTATAAGATCGATAGAGATATTTGTTTATCAATTAATCACGTCCTGTTGAACTAGTATTGAATTAGGTCGTATTTATAATAAAGAACGTAATATATATCGTTAAAACGAATCAATCATCAGAGAAAACGCGTATATAAATACAATTTGTGGAGCAATCACCATTCCATACAACATTCCATCTATTTATAAAGTTCAATCTCTTAGTTGAATCATTCTGAATGTCTGAGAGACAGTCTCGAATGTTTTCTACTTCCAATATGACTGAATATTATTTATATATAGTTTTATGCATTCCACAAATGTTGTTCAGTTATTTTGATCGTTTTAAAGTTTCGTGTTGACTTTTTGTAACATATTACTATACAGATACGTGTGTTTTCTGAATTTAGCAACTTCGTTCAGTGATTCTTCTTTTTATAACTTAGTAGCGGTCGACCGCGATTTCTTCCGCGCGCAATTAAAAAATAATTAATTAGCCTATGTATTTTTTCGGACTGTGTCCAAATTTACGCTAAATTACAGCAAGCTCCGTGCATCCGTCCCGGGGATACCTTCCTATAAACATCCATCCATCCATCTAAACATTCGCATTACACGATTCAAACTTTCATTTATCTCTGTTTATATACGGCCGGATTCCTATAATTTTTTATTGGTTTCTAAATAAACAAACCCCGTTTTTATTGTACTTTTTAGAATTTTAGTAATATTAATAATATAAAAACAAATTCAGAAACATTCCTGGCATATAACACATTACACAAACATGAAAACGAAGAAACATAAAATAACAAATTGTTGACGGACTGGAATGTTCATAATTCCACATCAGTAACGACCCCCTTAATTCGATGGTGTCCAGTGTGACGAACAACTAATTTAAAAAAATCTACTGAACTAGTTTAGAGCAAATTACGTAAATATGACTTAACTAAAAAAAAACAGTTTTTTTTGCTACAAAAAATTTCGTCGAATTAAGGGCTAATTATCACAGTAAACTAATTTTG